TCTTAGATTAAGCAAACCATGGCATACTGCAATTCTGGCCTTGAGAGCTGAAAAATAAACTACCACCTGTAAACTATGGACTTTTCACTATCAGAGATAATATAAACCCAACTTCATAAACCACTAAGGATAGCTACAGAATAATATACATAAAACAGTGATTGCCAATCAATCTACCTTTCTGAACTGCTGCTTTTGTTGGCTTACAAGGCACTTCTGAGTTTTCCCCTCTTCTTCCCTCTCTCTGATTTAAATGTGAGCTCTTTCATTACAGCTCACATCTCTTTCTCTTCTTAACCTTATTCCACCCCTTAGTGATAAATACTATCTACATGCCAAAGGATTTAAGTTTATAACCTCAGTACAGATTTCAGTTTTGAGCATGAAATTCATACCAACTGCCTTTTCACTATTTCCACATGGACATTTTACAGACATTTCAAACATCTCTAAAACTAACTCTGATCTCTCTAAGCTTACTTTTCTATCACTCTTTTCTACCATTGTAAATATCTGATACTCAAGTCTTTTCAACAATAATATATACTTCCAAGCTTATTAATTCTTCCTTCAAATTACATCCTGAATGTACAAAATATATACTCTGAATATGACAACTTCATGCTTTATGTTTAGGATTTCATGTTTAGACAACAATGGCATCTTTTAAATTAACAAATGATTGAGGGGGCTGGAAAGATGGCTCAGCACTAGCTACTCTTGCAGAGGACCCAGGTTCAGTTACCAGCACCCAAATGGTGTCTAACAACCAACCTTCACTCCAGTACCAGGGGATGCAATGCCCAACGCCTTCTTCTGGCCTCCACAAATATTGCATGACATGGGTGCACTTACACATGTGCAGGCAAAACACTCATATCATAAAATAAGTCAATATAGCTTCTCGGCCTTTTGGCTAAGATCAAGTGTAGTATGTTCTCACCAGTTTAATAAAATAAGTCAATAGAATAATAATGAAGCCAGGCGTGGTGGTGCATGCCTTTAATCCCAGCACTCAGGAGGCAGAGGCAGGCAGGTCTCTGTGAGTTCAAGGCCAGCCTGTTCTACATAGTGAGTTCCAGGACAGGTGGGACTACAGTGAGACCCTGTCTCAAAAAGACCAAATAATAATAATAATAATAATAATAATAACAATAATGAATATATTTATGGGATATAATGTGATAGTTTGGTGTGTGTACATTATGAATGACTATATAAAGCTAACACACCTATTGCTAAGATGCTTGTCTTTTTTTGTAATAAGAGCATTTAAAATCTATTCTTTTAGAAATTTTGAAATAAGGACCTGAGAGATGGCTCAGCAGGTAAAGAAGCCTACCTTCAAGCCTGACACCCTAAGTTCACTCCTTGGGGCCGACATGATGTAAGGAGAATTTCGACAAGTTGTGATTTGACATCCACATGCATGCCATGGTACATGTGCGCCCACATGCACAAAGTACATAAATGTAATTGTTAAATTTTTAAAAAGAAACGTACATTTACAAAACAAGTCCCCCCCAAAAAAAATTTTTGAAATATATATTATTATTAACTATGATCATCATAGTATACAGAAAATCTCAAAAACTTATTCCGCTGGTCTAGTTTAAACTTTGTATCCTTTGGTCAAAATCTCCCCTTTTTCCAAAGCTCCCTCACTACCAATCTTCAGTAACTATCATTCCTCTCTCCACTTCTAGAAGTTCTTTTTAAGACTCAATATAAGTGAAATATACATGAAACTGACTTATCACAACATCTTAATTCATCTCTCTGCTCCTAGTCTTTATGTATGGGTGTCTTCCACATGCTAGACAAGAGTTCTTCCACTGTGCTCCATCCTCTTACCGTTATTCTTTTATGTATAAATCTGATCATACCAAACTGTACTCTGAAATTTTCAGACTTCTCTTTCATTTTAAATTCAAGATTCCTCAACACATCTATAAGTACTGAGTTACAATCTCCAATGCCATCTCATCTACTCGTTCCTGTTCTAGTCCCAAATTCCTTATTTGGACAAGTATCCCCAGAGGAGTTGGGCTATTCCCGTCTACCTCCTCATAATTACCATTAAGCCTCTTTTTATTCTTCACATGCCTGGCTCCTTCATATTCTTTACTCAGAAAGGCCTTCTCTAATCTTCAGATTTACTATCTCTCCCATAAAAACCTGTTATTTTCTCAGAGAGTATAGTAACAAAAGTAAATCTACATGTTTATACTGTGTCCATGAGAACAACTATGTCTATTTGGTTCAATGCCAAATACGTATGATGTACATGGTGTCTAGCATAAGTCAGCATTTAACAAACATTTTTGAGTGAATTAACAAACCCACCTCATACTATATGACAGTTTTTAAATAAATACTACAGTGGAGAGTAAATGAGATACTATGAAAACAGAATGTTAGCTAAATGCAGGAAGTTAATATCAACTAAGTCTTACCAGCAGACTTTTTTTTAAAGCTGATTCTAATAGTTCTTCACTCTGGCTAGAATAACTACTCAGATCTACCTGCATATCAAATCAATAAAAATCTCTAACAATGGGGCTTAGACATGCATTTTTTTAAACTTCCATGACAATTTTCCATGAACAAGAAGCACTGGACCAAGAAAAGAGAATGAGAAAGCATGTGCCAAACAAAGGGACTAGCCTGAACAAATAAGAAGGGACCCCTGCAAGTTAACAATCATCAATCAAAGGTAGTGCACGCCTTTAATCCCAGCACTCCAGAGGCAGAGGCAGGTGGATCTCTGTGAGTTCGAGGCCAGCCTGGTCTACATAGTGAGTTTCAGGCCAGCTGGAGCTACAGGGAGACCCTGTCTCAAAAAGACAAATATAAATAAATGAAACAATCATCAATCAAGGCATGGAGGTGGTATAAGGGTATGAATTATAAATATAAGTTGAGCTCAAACTGTGGTAAGTCTTAAGATACCATTAAATGACACAAAGAACACAAAAAGAAATACAGTTGGGACAGATAATTTTTTTAAACTGATGGCAAAAGCTGCGCATGGTATGCCATATCCATAACTCCAATACTTGGGAGGTTAAAGCAGGATGATTGTGAGTTTGAGGCTAAACAGTAAGACTTTATCTAAAAAATAAAAAACATAAAACCTAATGAGGCAGGGGGGATAGGAGTATGTCCATGGTGGAAAGTCTACTTAGCATGCACAAATGCATAAGGCCCTGGGTCTAATCCCTACTGCACGTGCACACAGACAGATAGTCAAAGATACACACAAACAACTAGAGATTTGAAAAATTTCAAAATCAACGTGAGAAGCATGACATTTTGAAATTTAAAATTAGACTACAACAAAGTTGTGAGGCATCTAGAATAGGTAAATTCATGGGGAAAAATATACTCAAAAAGCTACTCAAAGGAACACATAAATTTAAAGGATAGATGGAAAAGAACCCTATTATTACCTATAAAGAAAACCTCACCTTGCTGTCCATTTCTATTTTGTTGTGTTGTATCTAGGATTTTTTTTATTTTGTGTTTGTAGGATTTTTTTTAACTGACCAAAAAGCTCAAAGAGTTTTACATGGGTTGATCAAATCACCCCAAGTAAAGAGAAACAAGACTAAAACAAAGGGCTTCAAAGTATTTCCACTATAAAATCTTACCCAGAATTCCTACTAATACAAGCTAATGGGCTATGCTTCATGGGGTCATATATAAAAGTCTTCAGGAAATCCTTAGTTATAAGGGGATTCTATTTTTCTGGTTTCTAAAGACTAATTAAATATGCTTTACTATGCATATCAATACCTGCAAGTTATGTGAAACTTATTTTGTGCTTAGAATCTTAAAATTATAAACTTTAAGCCAGATATGATAGCACACACCTGTAACTCCAACACTTGGAAGGTTGAGGCAGGAGGATTACAAGATCAAGGCCAGTCTAGACTATATAGCAAGTTCAAGGGCAACTGGGCTACATGTGTTTAAGAAAAATTACATTCAATTTTATGTCTTACAGGGTCTATACTGAGTTCAATATTGTATAACTGTATTAATTCAACTGTGAACCTAAAAATTTACAACCACTTTTGAAAGGAATGTATACTTGCTCTGGAAATTGTTATTGAATATGTTAAAACTGTAATGAAATGCTTCTCCTAATCATGTGGTTATTAAATAAAAAAAGAAAAAAAATTACAAACTTTTTGAGGACTATCCTTCTCTGAAAAATAAGAAATAGTAGACAATAGGTAACAGTTTAAATGAAACAGTAATGTTGAAAGTACAGTATTATATGTCTCAAAGACTAGTCAAAATAGGGGCAAGTTGAGAAGATCTAATGATTAAATGACTTTCAGCATGCCTAAGAATAAAATGTACCGGGGCTGGAGAGACGGCTCAGCAGTTAAGAACACTGACTGTTCTTGCAGAAGACCCGGGTTCAAATCCCAGAGCCTACATGGCAGCTAACAACTATTTGTTAACTCCAGTTCCAGGGGATCCGATGGCCTCTTCTGTCCTCCGCAGCATAGCATGACACGGGTGCAATTACATACATGCAGGCAATACACTAGTACACATAAAAAATAAATAAAAGATTTTAAAAAAAGAATAAAATACACTGTCTCAGGTAAGCCTTTACAAAGCTGATTTCAATTTGAAACAGAATTAGATACTGCATATCATACAAGTAACCATACCAATGTTTACACTGATCTTTTTCTTAATTGTTTTTTAAATATTATTTTTATTTTATGTGTATGAGTGTATTGCCTACATCTACGTAAGTACACTTGTATCATGCAATGCCAGTGGAGGTCAGAAGAGGATATCAGAGCCCCTGGAACTGGAGTTATGGATGGTTGTTAGCTACCATGTATGTGGGTGCTGGAAATCAAACCCAGGTCCTATACAAAAGCAGCCAGTGCTCTTAACCACTGAGCCATTTCTCCAGCCCCTTAAATTGTTATTTTTAGGTGAAGAAATTAACAAAAATATTTTCAACATACCCTAACTTTGCAATGTGATAAGAGCCCCCACATTGGCTGTGCACAGGCCTCAAGTTCAGCAGCAAAGGCAGCATAGTAGGTCTGAGACTCAAATTCCACATGTTCATTCAGTTCTCGTTTGTTCAAGTTCATGCCTTGTAAAAATTAAAGCACATATGGAGTTTGTCAAGTGGAAACAAGTATTTAAATTAAAATAAGTAAAACATTTTCCAGTACTCAACATATTTTTATACAAGTAGCATCAATAAACAGTACATATATCAATAACTTCAAATGAAACATGAAATGATCTGATATTTTCAGCATATTTTTACAAATTTCTAGGAATTCTTAGAATCACTTTGTGAATGTCTCATAATTTAAAAATATCAAAACAATTTTAATTGCTGCTAGTCCAATTGTTATTAATGTGTTAGAAACAGCTGAGAAAATAAGATTCCAAGTTTCTAGATAAATGATTTAATCAAGCTACCAAAAACTGGCATTCACTCCCTTTTCAATTATCCCCTGCTATGTTTTTATAAATATAAGTTCCTACAGACAATAACTAAAATAATGTAGACTCTGAATGGTATGCTATGATTTTGAATTAGTATTTAATGGATTAGCATTAGGCACTTTCTGAACCAAAAATGTTAAAAAGAAAGGTTAAATTCATACCTTGAAAGAAAGATACAAAGTTCATCCATGTGACTAACAAACCGTGGTCCTCCAAAAACCTTTTAGCCACACTTTGATGAGAAAGAATATTAATAAAATCACTAACAAGAGGCCAGTAAGTGTTATTCTTCAGTAAGGCTTCTCCACAGTTCACCACCACATGTAAACTATTTTCTTCATCTAAAAGGGGCATACACAACCCAAAAGTAATTTTTAAGAAACAACTCCATCAATAATGTAGAATATTATTGCACATGTTAGAATCAGAAAACACCAAATCCTAACTCCAGCACCATTTAAAATCTTCATGGCTCTAGGTATGTTATTTAGATTCCAGATTAAATTTCTCATTCTTTCAATGGAGGAATAAAAAACACGCACCTTAAAGGAATTAAGTGAAATGTTAACATAAAGCATTGAACACATTATTATAGTAATAATTACATGTTCTACATATAGCATGACACCTAGCTAGCTATATACATATAAAACCTCATTTTCTTTTTTTTTTAAATATTTTATTATTTTTATTTTATGTGTATGCGTGTATTGCCTGCATGTAGGTAAGCGGAGGACAGAAGAGGCTGTTGGATCCCCTGGAACTGGAGTTATGGACAGTTGTTAGCTGCCATGTGGGTGCTGGGATTCGAACCCAGATCTTCTGCAAGAACAGCCAGTGTTCTTAACTGCCGAGCCATCTCTCCAGCCCCCAAAACCTCATTTTCTTAATTTTAATGAAATACCTTCAGTTTCAATCAAAAAGAGTTTATTCCTACATTATTCTCATTCTATCTTATCAATCAAATCTGCTAATTTTAAGTGGCACATATTTAGGTGTTTTCTTCTAGTCAAAGGATATGTAAATGAAATTTTTTACCACACAGTATATTTCATAGATAAAAGAGCAAAAAGCACAGAAACCTCTTAAACCCACGCCCCCTAAAAAAAAAAAAATTCATTCTTGAATGGGAAAAAACAGGCTATACAAAAATCTGTCACAAACACTGATTTCCTGTACATATGAACTAGTTATCTTAGCCTATTTCAACTTAATTGGTACGCTGGAATAAGGAGCCTCCACTCCCACTATAATACCACCCATTCCAACGCCATTACTATCCTCTAGTACACACCCTGAGACAGATGGTTACCTAGCATCCATTTTTGTTTCTATTCATGTTAATTGTTCTTTTACCATAATTATAGAATTTAAATCAAAAGTATATGAAGTAATGAAACACAAATGCATGCTTAGACATATTAGAGAAACTGGATCACATGCCTTTGATAGGCAGTAAAAATAAGTACATGGGAGTACAGAAGTTAAACTCAGAGCAGAAAAAAAGGAAATCATAAAAGCTTGGGCGTATTTTACAACCAGTTAGTGTATGTTAGAATGTCACAAAGACATTCTAACTCTAAACAGACTGAAAATGGAATTTACAGATGATGACTTACAGGTGTGATATATATATATGAGATTAAATTCAATCAAGGAAACCATATTCTGAAAACACTTTGCCCACAATTAAAAAACTGGAGAGTGGGGACCAATGAGATGGCTCAACAGGTAAAGATGCTTGCTGGCACATGCCTAGTAACCTGAGTTCAATCCCTGGAACCCATTTAAACCGTGGAAGATGAGAACTGGCTTCACAAATTTGTCTTATGGCCCCACTTGTGCATCATGACTAATTGCACCCACACATACATACAATAAAAAAGACTTGGAGAGCCGGGCATGGTGGCACATGCCTTTAATCCTAGCACTTGGGAGGCAGCGATGGGTGGATCTCTGAGTTGGAGGCCAGCCTGATCTACATAGCAAGTTCCAGGCCAGATGGGGGCTACAGTGAGACCCTGTATCAAAAAGACCAAAAAAGAAAAAAAAAGACTGGAGAATAAAAATGCATCTCTGTATTTAATGTTAAAATACAATGTATCACATTTAAATTTATGCTTTAGTCTATGGAATCATTATACCCTACAATTAAGTTTAATAATAAATAAAACCAAGACCTATTACAAATCAGGCATACTTGTTTCTCCCTGCTTCTCAGTGGGTAAAAGAAGGAAAAGTAAATAACTTACTCCAGGGTTAGGAATTACCTACATCTGAAATTCTGAAGACCACTCCCATGACTAACAACTCTTGCTAATGAAAATTGAGGAGCCAGTGGACCTGATGAGATAATGTTGTGGGATGCTGGGCTTAACAAAACAAAAAAATTAAAATTGAGAAATGCTGTCCTATTGAATTGAAAATAGAGGATGAACAAGCAGAATATAATTAATCAAAATCACAGTTTTTCTAACACTGCTTTAAATACAACTGTTCTTGTGAAAAACACTGTGTAATCTTTAAAGAAATAAAGCAATTACAACTTCTTTTTTTCACCCAAGCTGAAACTTTTCTCACTATAGATATAAAGAGCAATGATTCAGGGTTAAATGAAACTGACTCATCAAAAAATATTTGTTGAGCGCCTGAGGTCAGGTATTCTACTAATTTCAGAGAATAATGTGATAAAATAAAGTTGTTCTCTCTCTCTCCCTCCCTCCCTCCCCCTCCACCTAAAAAGACAGTGTGATAAGAGCTATAATAAGAGAAGTACCAAGTTTTTACAAATAAATACAGCCGCTTTAAAATTCAAGAACAGACTCTCCTGAGTGATGCTTAAACTAAGAGCTACAAAATAAAACAGGATCAGGATTCACTAGATAAACCAGAGAAAGGAGAGCAAATAGGTAAAGGAGATGTCTGAGAGAAGGTCTGAATCACTTAGACAAAGATTGTGGAGGATGGGTGGTACACATCAATGGGTTCAGAGGCAATGGGTTCAGAGCTCATATGAAGAGAATGGCAAGCACTGGGAGTAAGGGGTAAGAGAGAGAATATGGGCCAGGCATGGTGGTGCAAGCCCTTAATCCTAGCACTTGGAAGGCAGATCTCTATGAGTTCAAGGCCAGCCTGGTCTACATAGTGAGCTCCAGGCCAGGTGAGGCTACAGGGCGACTGTCTCAAAAAATAAAAAAATAAAAAAAGAGGGGCTGGAGAGATGGCTCAGTGGTTAAGAGCACTGACTGCTCTTGCAGAGGACCTGGTTCTATTCTCAGCACCCACATAGCAGCCACAAACCATCCTTAACTCCAGTTCCAGGGAAATCGGAAGCCCTCTTCTGATTTTCGTGGCATTGCACGACATGGGTGCACCCACATACATGCAGGCAATACACTCATACACATAAAAAAAAAAACCAGAAATTAAAAAAAAATATTGAGAGAGAGAGAGAACATGGTCAGTTACATGGCATGGAAGGTGACTAAAGGATGGGATTAGAAATAAGCCTAGAGCTGACAATGGTCTGAACTATGGTAACAGCAGAATGAAGATGCAGAGATGATAAGAGACTGAGTTAGTATTTGCTATATCCATAAGGAGTAAAACAAAGTCAAGATGACTTGCAGGTTTGGAGGCTAGGCAATTGTGTAAATAGTATTAAGACACATGTTCAAGTACATACATACACATTCACACAGGATAATGGAAAAAAACAGCTTGATGGAGTTTTTCTGTGCACATTATGTTAGAGGTAGATAACAGACTCCAAAGAATATGTTCTAATAAGCAGTTTGATTTGAAAACTTGATGGAAGATCAATCTGGGGTTATTGGCATTACATGACACATGTTTTTAAATTCTATTTTACATAAATTGTTTCACAAGACAAATTATAAAAATTTCAGAAACATGGAAAATTATTCATTTGAAATTACAAAGTAGTATGAAATATAACAAAGAATATAAAAGAAGGATCATAAGTTACTAGAATGCTTCTTCCTTTTAATCTTTGGCTATTGCTGTGGTCATGTGAATGCTCATTGTATTGACTCCAATTATTCCTAACAATAAAGATAAAATTTTAAAATACTGTCAAGAGGCTAAGGATGTGGCTCAATGAGAATGGACTCTTATGTGACCTGTATCCTGAAATGGCATATGCTTAGTACAAGGCATTATATGTGTCTTATATGTAATAATAGCTAGCTGCTTATGATGGCTATGGTCTTTTGAATGGTCACTGTATAAACGCCAAGCTGTGTTCTTGGTACTTTATGTGCTTTATCTAATTTAACTGTCCCTAATTTTGAAAAATAGATATTGTTAGCTCTGTTTCTAGATGAGGTAATTATGATTTAGGGAGTTGAAATTATTCATCTGTGATCTTACAGCTCTACATTATAAGGCAGGATATCTGATTCAAAGCCTATACTTGTGTGTGTGTGTGTGTGTGTGTATATGTGTTTTCCACTTTAGTTTAGGAACTGAACTCCACTCCTAGGATTACAGATGTGCACTGCTGTGCCTATCTTCTTTTTTTTTTTTTTTGAGACAGGGTCTCCCTGTAGCCCCAGCTGTCCTGGAAATATGTAGACTAGGCTGTCCTTGAACTCATAGAGATCTGCCTGCCTCTGCCTCCTGAGTGCTGGGATTAAAGGTGTGCGCCACCATGCCCTGCGATATTCTTCTTTATATTTGAAGAAAGAGTTTATAAAATAGTGTTTTAACTTATAAACTAGGGACTGGAGAGATGACTTAGTGATTAAGAGAACTGGCTGCTCTTGCAGAGGACCTGGGTTTGGTTTCAGCACCTATATGGTGGGCAGCAACCATTGTTAACTCTAGTTCCAGGGGATCCAACTCCTTCTTCTGCTCTCTATGGGCATTGCATGCACATGGTGCACTTACAAAATGCAGGCAAAAACATACATATAAAATAAAAATAAATAGGGGCTGGAGCGATGGCTCAGTGGTTAAAAACACTGGTAGTTCTTGCAGAAGACCCAGGTTTGAATCCCAGCACCCACTCCAGTTCCAGGGGATCCGACAGCCTCTTCTGACCTCCGCCAGCATTGCACGATATGGGTGCACTTACCTATACGCAGGCAATACACGCTTACACATAAAATAAAAATAATAAAGTTAAAAAATAAAACCAAAATAATTAAGTTATAAACTAAAAATCTTAAAATTTAGAAGTATGTATTATTTTAAAAAGAATATGGCCTATTTATTTCTTTTTGCATGTATTGTGTGTGTGGTGTATCTATGTATACAGAAGTGAGTATGCAGGTGGACACATGCATGCAAAGGTCAGAGCAGGACATCAGGTGTCTTCCTCTGTCACTCTCAACCTTATTCTCTTGAGACAGGGACTCTGATTGAACTGAACCAGAAACTTGCCATTTCACCTCAGTTGACTGGCTAGTGAGCTCTCTCGGGATCTGCCTATCTTTGTCCCCCAATGCTGAGGTTACAGGCATGACAGCCATGCTCAACTTTTTATGTGGGTATTGGGGACTGGAACTGAGGTCCTTATGCTTGCAGAGCAAATGTTCTTAACCTAACTGAGCTCTCTCTTCAGCCCATGAAGTCTATTTTCTTGACTCTCTGTTTTAGCTTTTCATATATATGGTTTGCATTTGGTCTTTAAAGTGGAAATATTTGGGGAAAAGATATGTATGAGTTTGTCTGCCCTTTAATTTTCCAATAACTAGCTTTCCTAAGAAAAATTATATTTTTCAGTCACTAATGTACTTCAAACTAGTGTTCATTTCCATTCTTCTGTTGAAGTTGTTCTTTATGAGAACTACTATGCATGTGCCCACAGGTCAAGTAAATTACATCAGATAAATTACATTATATCTCTGCCAAGTTCTAATACTATCTTTGCAGCCTTTAGATTTTACCATGGTATTGTTTTAACTACTTTCAGTAATAGTATGGCATTTCATAATATATAGTTACTGCTTTTGCAAAGATACCATAAACTTTGTACATTTATGTATTAAGTATTAGAATGTGCCTTAACTTTATTGAGTAGTTCTAGGTATCACAAAAAGATTTTTTTTAATTCAAAATATTTTAAATAGCTTCCATTTAACCACTGTATGAATTGTTATTAGGCAATATTTTATTTTATTTATTTAATTTTCTTGGAGTACTGGGGATTAAATTTAGGGCCTTTCCATTCTAGGCAATGAGAAAATAGGAGCTCATATTCACAAAGAAACAACAATGGACTAAATCAAAGCTCAACTACAAGATCTCTCTTCCTCAGAGGATGAAAAGGTAGTATGATTTACTTGTTCTTGTTTTACCATTTTGAGTGTATATGTATTGTGCATGTGTATATGCATCACTTTTGTATGTGTAGGTACACCTGTGGGTAGGTGTGTAGGTGTGTGTTGTGGGGGGGTGTAAACCCTAAGGTTGATTTCAGGAATCATTAATTCTCCGTCACTCTTCCATGTTCTTCACTGAGGCAGGATCTTTTATTCGAACCCAAGGCTCACTGGTCTTGCTAGCCCGCTTGCCCTGGTGATCCCCATCTCCACCTTTCAAGGCTGAAGTAACAGGCAGGTTGGAATTACAGGCTAGCACCCACAGGGCTGCCATACACACTGGCATTTACATGAGTTATGGGGATCTGAGCTCTAGCTTCACGCTTGCAAGCCAAGTGCTTTTACCACTGAAACATCTCTCCAGCCCATTTGTTAAAGTTTTGCTCTGGATGTCAGTAAGTAAACACAGTCTTTTCAATGTAGACCTGGCTGTGTTCTGCCAAAGAATGAAGGTTCTGACACTAGAAGACATGAAGTCCTTTTTGACACTGTCATTTACAAGCTATATAATTCAACAAGAAATGACTTAATTTTCTAAAGACTTAATGTTCTCAACTTAAAAATGAAGATACTAAGGCCAAGTTAGGAGAGTCTTCAGAAGATTAGCTGAGACAATATATGACTAGTATTCAACACACAGTGCCTGGTACACAACAAATACTCAAATAATATGAATTATTTAAGGGAAGGTAGATGAAGAGCACAAAGAAAAAGAATGGAAAACTGTATGGGAATATTAGGTAAAGAAGTATTCACCACACAATGGACACAAAAGAAGATTATAAAAGTTCTTTTAAGCCTACACAGAAAAGGCAAAGTTTATTCCAATTTTAAAATTTGAAAAGTATAAATATGCTGGGTACAGTGGCACACACCTTTAATCTCAGCACTCAGAAGGCAGAGGCAAGTGGATCTCTGTGAGATCCAAGCCAGCCTGGTCTACATAGTGAGTTCCTGTCTCCAAAATGAAAAATAATTTTTTTTAATTTAAGTACATAAAAATATCTAAAGTGGGTAGCAACAAATTTATGAGTAAAAAATGGGAGGATATCTAATAAAATAGCTTAAGTATAGTATTAGCCATGATAGTAATACCTATAATTACTAAAATACATATTAATGTATACTATGGTAACATTTCTATAAAGTATAATGTATAGATATAAATATAATCATATTATATAAAAATGCAGAAAAGAAACAGCCAAGCATTCACAAATCATTTCTGAATGACTAAACTAGAAATGATTTTAACTTTTTCTTTAAACTTTACTACAAATTTTCAAATATTTTGGGTGTTTTAGGCATATACAGGACTTCTAGAGTTTGTTATACAATCAAATGATACAGCACTGAATGTAATTCTAAGCTTACCTTGCAGCTCACTTTTAATAAGGCAGCTTTCCATCATGTACAACAGCACAGTGACCATGATGTCCAGGAGCTGACATTCTTCTGTCACCTGTCTGGCTAGCTCCTCATTGCTGAACAACTGAACACTAATATGCACAATTCTGTTAGACATTGTGTCTGATTCGTGACTTTTCTTCAGTGTTTTCATAATGAAAGCATAATGCTGAACAAAAGTTTTTGTAAAAGCAACCTGTAAAAATTTTAAATAGGAAACATCAGTTTAACTCTAAATTTAAAATATAAAAAATGTTTTATATTTATACTACATATTATATCAGCTTTTAAAAGCTATTAGTAACATACGATGCTATCCAAGGTAAAGGAAAAAATAATTCAATAATGATAGTAATTTTAAGCCACGTCTGGTGGTGCACGCCTTTAGTCCCAGCACTCTGGGAGGCAGAGGCAGGTGGATCTCTGTGAGTTAAGGTCAGCCTTGACTACATAGTGAATTCCAGACCAGCAGAGGCTACAGGGAGACCCTGTCTCTAAAAGACCAAAAATAATAATAATAATAATAGCAATTTTAAGTCATACTTTACCCTTTTGGAACTTAGCAAACACTTTGATAGTTTTTTTTTATATTTCATTTAGGTTCTTTATATTTTAGTTATTATTTTTATTTTATATGCATGATTTATTGCCTGCATGTATGTGAATGCACCTGCATCGTGCAATGCCATGGAGGTCAAAGGAGGGCTTCAGATTCACCGGGAACTGGATTTAAGGACAGTTCAAATCAAGCCCGGGTCCACGGCAAGAGGAGTCAGTGTCTTAACCACTGAGCCATCTCTCCAGTCCCTATTATTTTTATTTTTATGTGTATGAGTATATTGCCTGCATGTATGTGAGTGCACTTGGGTCATGCAATGCCACGGAGGTCAGAAAAGGGCTTTGGATTCCCCTGGGACTGGAGTTAAGGACGGTTCATAGCCGCCATATGGGTGCTGGGAATCAAACCGGGTCCTCTGCAAGAGCAGTCAGTGCTCTTAACAGCTAAGCCATCTCTCCAGCACCCACTTCGATAGTTTTAATAAGTTAATAAGCAGCCGGGAGGGGTGGCGCACGGCTTTAATCCCAGCACTTGGGAGGCAGAGGCAGGCAGATCTTTGTGAGTTCAAGACCAGCCTGGTTTACATAGGGAGTTCCAGGACAGCTGGGGCTACAGGGAGACCCTGTCTCAAAAAGATTAAAAAAAAAAAAAAAAAAAGTTCATAAGCATTCTAACCTATTTAAGTTTTAAAACAATTACAAACACTGTGCTTTCAGAATATAAAATTTGGCATCCTGATCCCCTGCACCCAGACCAGCTGTAACCTCCAAGTTAGTTTGCTAAACCCTCCACAGGCTGTCCCAAACCCCAACTTGTCCTTGGCCCCACTCCTGAGCTGCCGGCCACAGACCTGCCTATTATCCAGCTAAGAAATGTAAACAACCTAAATGTCCCTCAACTGACAAATGGAGAATGAAAATGTGGCACATATACACAACAGAGTTCTATTCAGCAGTAAGGAAAGATGAAATTTGCAGGTAAATGGATGGAACTAGAAACTGGTATACTAAGTGAAGTAACACAGACTCAGAAAAGCAATTGATGCATGTTCTCCCTCATTTGTGAATCATAGCACCAATCTATTATGTGTGAGTATATATCCTGATGTAACAGCAGGAGCCAGGGAAATGGAAAGGAACCACAGAGGTAAAGGGAAAGAGCCTAAGAGAGGGTAATAGTAAGAAGCAGATGTTACCAAGGGGGAGATGGGGACTATGGGGATATTCGAACGGGGAAGAAGAAGGGAAAAACATACAAGGAACCATGGGAGTAGAGGGGAAAAACACACTGGGGGGCGCAGATAGAAGACAGGTATTATCAAGGGGAAAATGGAAGTATTCCAACTGAGGATGGACAAAAGAGAATAGACAGGGGGAAAGAGAGAGGAGAGATAAAGCTTAAGGGAGTAAAAAGCCAGAGGGAAATGTATTAACTCAAAAGCCCCCTGAAAAATACACAATAGTTGAACATGAGTGCATGTATACACCTGAAGGCTAGAAATAAAATAAGAAACACAGTGCCAGACAGGAGTTGTTGGCCAGGGTAATCCAAGAGACACCCAAAATGATATAGGTTATTGCCACAGCCCTTGATTTCCTCCCAGAACTTGAAGGTAAGAACCTATTGTTGAAGGCAAGACATACTTCTGACACAGGACTTGGAGCAACAGAGCTGGAACTGACCTGGAAGCCTCCCCTCCGAAGACTAGTTCTCCTAGTTCTAGAAGATACTATGCATGCTAAGGGAGAAAATCAATCAATGGTTCAACCCAGCTTGTAAAGCCTAATAACCACAACAACTGGCACAGCAAACTATTTCTATTGATGCAGTACTGGCACTTTTATTTAAGGAGTAATCAACAGTTATCTACTTGGACTTACAGCCCTCTCAGTGGGAGGGAACTCATGGGTGGCACCGTAAATACAGCCAAATACACATGGCTAGAGAAGTCATAGATCCTAGAGAAAACCCTATCTCTGCCATATCTCTAGACAAATACAATTTTTTTTCAAATATTTTATTTATTATTTTTATTTTACGTGTATGTGTATACTGCCTGCGTGTAGGTAAGTGCACCCATGTCATGTAATGCTCTCGGAGAACAGAAGCTGTCAGATCCCCTGAACTGGAGTTATGGAGAGTTGTTAGCTGCCATGTGGGTGCTGGGATTCAAACCCAGATCTTCTGCAAGAACAATCAATGTTCTTAACTGCTGAGCCATTTCTCCAGTCCTCTCTTTTTTTAAATATTACTTTTGTTTTATTATGTGTGAGTGTATTGCCTGCATATATGTAAGTGTACCTGTGTTGTGCAATACCTGAGGAGGCCAGAAGAGGGTGCCAGATACCCTAGAACTGGAGTTACAGATGGTTGTTAGCCACCATGTGAGTGCTGGGATTCAAACCCAAGTACTCTGCAAGAGCAGTCAGTGCTTTTCACCACTGAGCCATCTCTCCAGCCCCGAGAATTGGTCTTATTTTTTTAATTATTTATTTAATAACCATATAATTAGAAGCATTTCATTACACCAGCACTGGCATATTCAATAACAATTTCCAGAGCTAAGATGCATCTCTTTCAAAATTGGCTGTAAATTTTTAGGTTTACAGTTGAATTGATAGTTATACAATATTGTACTTCGTATAACCCCATAAGACATAAAATTAAATGAGGTAAAGATCTCCATTTCATTATTAAAATACAGACTCATGCAGAAAAATTCATTTTTAATACAATTGACACTACGATGCACACGTGTTTCTAATCACTATATATCTGATTATTACTAGTCACAGTCACTTTCTGAGCTCCTTGGCATCTGAGCATGGATATAAAGTCATCAGGTAGATTTCAATGGTAATGTTTTTCATATCCACCAATTATTAAGGAGCAAATTTTTATGCTTTGAAGAATTATTATTATTATTATTATTATTTTATTATAAAATAAATATTTGATTGTGGTTGATATCTAGATATAAACAGCCATTTTTATGCTTTGTTAATAG